TTACTCCATCATTTATCTGTATTATTATTTATTTATATATTTTTTATTTATGCATGATTAATTTGTCAATTATTTATTATTATTTATGTATTATCTATTTATCATTATTTTGCTTTGCTAACAATTTCTTAGTCTCTATTTGAAGAGCATTTGTGATGCGTTGTTAGCACTGAGTTCTCTTTAGTTGTTGCATACTTTTGGAAGCGCTGCGATTTTACAATTTGTATATGGTAGATTGGTGTGTGTGCTGAAGTGTGTGTGTGTGTGCGTGTGTGTGTCTGTTGTACCGAGTGTGAATCTGCCTGGCATTACTGTTTGTATTGCCAAAGTTGTTGTAACTTCGTTAAAATAAGCACTCTGTTAGTTTGGCCCGCCGGCTCAATGGGCACTCGTCCGTACTCTCCGGCCCCGCCTCTCCCCTCGCTCGCAGCTCTCCTCTAGCTGTTGCCCCAAAGTCCCCTTCTGGGCAGTGGCAATGCAGCAGATTTGTCGGCGGTTTTTGCCATTACAGCCACATACCTAGCTGCAGACCTTTTCGTTGTTGTCGTTGTTGTTGCTGCTGCTGCTGTTGGCACTGCTGATAGTTGTGCATCTGCATTAGTAATGGTAGACGAGTGGAGCGAGAGCGCTGCGCAAATTTGGGGGTATTTTGGATTTGGATTTGGATTTGGATTTCGGCTTCGGAGAGGGTGGCTCTAGGGCCACCCGCGTGTCAGGTGTGCGTCGTGTCTATGCCAAGGTACGGGAACGTAAACTTAACGTTTAATTTTTCGGTTAGTGCTGCTTCGACTGCAGCTCGGATGCATTGCAGCACCTTCGGGGCTATTAAACTGCAAACAGTTTGCCACCACCACCACAGCTGGAGTAAGGCAGGCATTCCGTTGTTTTCGCTTTCGATTTCGCTGGGCTAAAACAATGCATGGCAGCGGCAGTCGCTTACCGAAAACTTGTACTTAGCGTCGTTTCCTTCCGCTCAACACGGCCAACAAGCAGCGGCTCGTTTGGCAGCGCTGTCTGAAATGCAATTAAGTCGCATCGACATGCAATCTCCGGCGCGGCGAAGGCGCGCACACACACACGCAACATGCAGCACATACGCAACATGCACCACTTGGCCAGCGAACAGCTGCAACAACAACTTGCAACAGCAGCAAGTGGCATTTCCATTGCCGCAGGCACTAAGAAAGCCCTAAAAGCGCTGAAAGGTTTCAGTTAGCCAGCCGCAGGACTAAAAACAAGAAAGAAAGAGGGCATACACTGCCAGAAATCAGCAGCATCTTCACACTTTAAGCTTTAAGCTGGCAAACTAAAGTTTTGCTTGAGATTTTATTAAGGAACTAAGTCAGTTTCATAATGGAATCTGAGGTTTATATCAGGTTAGGTTCGATTAGATTCCAAAGAAGAGCAGAGTTTGGTATAAAAATGTGAATGGAAATATATATGTATAAATAATAATTATGTGAGCAACTCACAGAACTCTAAATTAACATCAATTTTGATGTGAAGATGTAGACAGGCGTGAAGTATATATATTTGGCATCAACATGAAGGAGAAGGTATTTATTCTTGTAATATTTTTAGCAAGGAAATATATGTATTAAGTTTCAATATGTTCCATAGCTAACATTTGAGAATGTTCTAGTTGGGAGTGCCTGACTAGGAGATACCCGAACCTTGCGTTTAGCTGCTATTCGTCTCTTTTTTACATACATTTAATACTTATAATATAGACACATAAATACACCTCAAATACACGCACATAAAACCAAAGTTAAATAACTTCTACTTGTATATTCTTCACCTCAAAGAGCTGGGTAAAGGCACTCAAATATGTCTATTTGCCTAGCGAAAAGTCTTTACTATTGGAAATGCATTTCTGTAAGCTTGAGGGGAAAGGGGAGAGCTACTCAATATCCGAACCAATCTCTGTGTATGTCACAGAAAGCTTTTCAGTTACTTTGAAATCTCCAGATTTTGTGGCATGCAAGTTATCAACAGAAACTTTCACAGTAACTTCACAAAAATATGAAACTTGTGTAGTGCTCGAGCTACGCTTATTCATTATAAAGAAATATAATTCAAAGAAATGCATAAAATTCCAAATATAAATCAGTTTAAATGTGTTACATCGAGTAGAAACTTTAGTTAATATTAATATATTTAAAAAAAATATATATATATTTATAAATTTATATATATATATATATATAAATATAATCCAATCGCTGAATGATAAAAAATATTGCATTTATTATAAATAATCGAATGCCAAAATTGGTTTGAGTCTTGGCAGAAAAACATGAAACTATGAATTATTTTGATAACAAAAAAATAGAAATATTATGATAATTTCACTGGCTATTAAATATTCATTTTGAAAGCCAAAAAATATGTTTCGTATGCAAATTGAAATATTTGAAATATTATACAAATTGTATAATTAGTGGAATCCACTTTGGAAACTGACATAGATACGAAATGCTGAGAGGCCGTGGAAAGAGTCGAGCGCCGAGAAGTATGCTTGGAAATGTTAATCCACACTTGACTAGCACACGATTATGTATACGCAGAGTAGACCCGTTCCCAAGGCTCTTTCGGGCAACTCGCACTTTTACTTTTATTTCAGAACGGCTATCTAGAGCGAAGTGCATCTGGTGCACAAGCAGAGCACTCGTTAGAGCTCTTCAGCGTGCCGATAATCCAATTATGGCCCTGGCCTGCCAAGGGTCTGACAGGCTTCACTTGCTGTTGTTGTTGTTCACCTTTTTTGGCTAGCTGGGTTAGCTCTACCTGTGCTGTGACGTGCGCGCGCTTGTCGAGTCTCTCACATAATTTTAGCCAGTTTATTTGGCTGTTTGGCTCTGCGCGCGTTATTATCAAGTTACATTGGCCAAAACACTAAGCCGTATATGCAAGGGTATATAAAAGGGTCGCCGCCTGAACCCAAGCCAGCTAATGTTTGAGGCTTGCCGCAGTCGCAGCGGCAGCGGCAGCGGCAGTGGCAGTGGCAATCGCAGTCTTTAATCAGTTGGGGGCGTCTCACTGCGTGTGTGTGTGTGGTTTAACCATTCGCCTCGTTTAGCGCATTGTGTTTGTTATTTAAAACACGTAAACGCTCAGCGAGGCGAAAGTGTTTGGTACTTGGGGCTGCTAAATGAAATCCATTTTAATTAAAATACCTTTTGTGGCACACATTTTCCGTTAGGCAAAAAACACACAGTGTTAATATTTCTAGCATTTTCATATTTATTTTCGTTTGCTTTTTTATTCAATTTCATTTTTGTATTGATATGAGTTTTGTTGTTTTCTCTTCTTGTTGTTTTTCACTACTTTAATTTTGCTTCTGCTGTTGTTCATAATATGAATGAAATGTAAAAGGAGAACACAATGCATTTGCTGCTGACTCGCTCTGTGTATATCTTGTGTGTGTGTGTATTTACAATATATAATATTTTTTTATAATATAAAAATTGTTTCCGCTCACGCAAAAATCAAAATAAAAACGAGTAGAAGAAGCGAACACATTCCTGTTGCTCCGCAAAGTTGGAATTTCATTTTGCTCTGCTCATAATTGATTTATTCATTCGTTCGCCATGAATAGTTTATTTTCGTGTTAGTGTCTTTTTTCTTTTCATATATTTATTTAATATTATTATTATTATTATACTTGTGCACTTTGCATCATCGTCGTGTAAACAACTACAATTAGTATCACGATTGTCATTGTTGTAACAAAAGCAAAAACCAAACCGAAACGAAAACAAAAAATGTGAAAAACAAACAAATAAAATAAGTTTTTTTTTTTATTGTTATTAATAATTTATTTCGTTTAATTGGTATTCATGTGTGTGTAAATGTTTACGCATTTCATTATGACTCTTTGTTTTCTTTCCTCTCGTTTTTTTTTTTTCATATAACTTTTGCCAAAACTGATATGTACTTATATATGTGTTAAAAATTGACTGCTGCCAAAGTTCGTAGAGCTCTCACTGTCTCTCTCTATTGATAACTGTGCATTGTGTCGTTTCTACGTTCATTATTATTATTATTTTTTTTTTTTGAAAAAACCATTGTAATTGCTAGCCAATTGTTATTTAATTTTCGTATTCGTATCTTTAAATATTTATTTATATTCATTATTCATGTATTTATAATGTACTTATTGGCCTTGCTGCTAAATTGTATTCCATACCTGTGTCTAGAATCGGTTGTTTTTTGTTCAGCTTTTAAAAATATTTGCATATATATATATATAAACTATTATTAACAACTTAATTTTCTATTAGATCTATATAGATGCAAGAGTGTTTTTTTCTTTTATTTCTTTATTAACTACGTTCTAGTTTAATGTGTGTGTTTATAAATAAATATGATGTCTGTGTCCTTGTCACTTAATAGGAATCATCATATATATATGTGTGTGTGTGTGTGTCTGATTTTATGTAATCGATTGTATTAATTACCATTAAGTTGGCCAAAGACTCAGCGCTAGGCGTGTTGGGCTGTCGAGGAGCACTTAAATTACCTAATGGTCTTTTAATGACAGTTAAACAAATGATAATAGTCGTAAAAGAAAGTTAGTCTTTGATAAACAAAATATATGCGCCATATGTGTAAACAAATTGCGAAAGTTACAGCGCTAATTAGAGTGAAAGAAACGAAAACAATATTAGTTACAATTATTATAATTAAATATTTCATTTATGTGTAAATTTATTCATAAAAACTCCCAATCGCTTGGCGCTTGCCTAATTCATATACTTTAGTATATATTTATATATATATATATATATATTATCATAATTATTTTATATAAAACTTATAGATTACGAGTGGACATAAACCGATTTGCTGTTTTCGTTATTGTTAGGGTTCATTAGCTAATTCCAAGTGCTGCCAAAAATTTTGGGCTACATTTAGTAAATTTATATATATATATATAGAAGATATATATATATATATATATATTAGTTTATATACAATATCATACATGTGTAGCATTGTGTTATCCAACAGCCGCTTCAGTCGGCCAGTTCCAGCAGCGACTAGAGCCAACATCAAAGGGATATGGTGAACAGTGGCAGCGTTAACGCTGCCGCAAAGGATAACAGAAAGATGCGCTGCCCGGAGCTGCTCAGCGCGCTCGCCTGGCACAGCAGGTCCTCGGGAAAGATCTCCAGTATGGGCAGATGGTGACCCGACGTGGGATCGTGGCAGGTATTGGCACGCGCACGCTGTGTTGGCAAAAGTTAACAAGTTGAAGAAATCATTGAGTGAGTTTTGAAGCCACATTTGACTGATATATGAGATAAATAAATGGTTCAAGAGGTTGAACTGTATGGGTACGATGGTTAAGTATGAGATACAAATCAGTCAGATACAAATATTTGCATTCACACTAATAATTATGGATCACAGAGACTTTTGTAGTTACGCTCAGTGATCTAAAATTATGCGTTAGATATAAATGTATCTATGTATCTACAAATAGTATCTGTTAAATAGAGACGAAGCTGTGCGATGCAAATCTAATTGTAAGCTACCAAATCTTATCTGAGAAATAGAATCTCATAGGTTAGATAAAATAGTATCTGGCAGATACAGCAGTATCTGTGTACAAAGGAGTATCTGTGAGATACAAGTGTCACATATAAAAGTATCTGTTAGATACAAATGTATTTGTAAAATAACAAAATATAGTAACATGTGTGTCAGATAGAAAAGTATCTCTAAGATACAGAAGTATATGTTAGATAAAAAAGTATCTCTTAGATACAAATATATTCGTCAGATACAAAATTAAAATTTATCTGTAATATACAAAAGTATCTCAGCGATACAAAATTATCTATTAGATGGAAAAGTATCTGTATATAAGCATATGTATCTGAGAGGCAGAAAAAGTATCCATGAAATACAAAAGTATTCTTAAATTAAAGGATATACCGAGACGTGCTGACGCAACTGTAAGATACAAAAGTATCTGTTAAGTACAGCACATGTGAATGCAAACTAACTCGTTTGCTGCAAAAGTTGCTGCACAATACAAAAAAGTATCTTTGAAACGCACAAACGTTTGTGATTGACAAGTGCATCAGCGTAGAGATGCAGAGCTCCAACTTTCTGTGTCGATATAAAAGTAACTGCTGGCTGGCAGCTGCCTGCGTATCTCACTTCAAACGCTTTGAGTACTTTTAAGATATTTTTGTATCTTTTAGGGAGATTTCTTTAACCACTGTGTATCTAGAGTAAGTTGCAGAGCTCTAGCCAAAAGCTATAATAATTTATACAGAAATAAAATAAATTAAAGCTTACGCGCATATCGGCAACCGATAGGGGTAGCTTTTGGCAAGATTAGAGAAGTAGAAGTGAAAGAAAAGAAAGCAAACGATGGTTATGTTTATGACGCACCTGCACCATGCGCTTGAGATCATCCTTTTGGATGACTTTGATCTGCGCCGATTCGCGCAGCCAGCGACGCAGCCAATGCCCGAACCAGACCAGGCCGCACTCGCATTCCAGGGGATTGTGCGAGGTGATGAGGCCGCCCATGATGCTGCGCGTGCCCACCGCATCCCAATAGCTCTTGTTGGGATAGAAGCTGTCGGCGGCCAGCGCATTGATGCGATTGTGCGAGATGTCTATGGATAGGTGGGGCACCTCGCGCAGCGTGTAGAAGATGCCAGGTGGCAAGTCGGAGATGCGCGTATGCGAGATCTTCACTTGCAGCCGCTGGTTGCGCGACAGACCAGTGAAGGCATCGGGCGATATGGTCTGCACATTGCTGCCATACAGCTCCAGCAGCTGTAGCTTTGTGTTGTTGGCCAGCTTGGCCAGCAGCTGGCCACCGATGTTGGGCTCCAGGCAGTGCACGCGCAACTCCTGCAGGCCGGGCAGCCGGGCCACCAGGTCGCCCAGATTCGCATGCGAGCTGGCATGAAGTTTGCGCAGCGAGCGCAGCTTGGCAAAGGCCTGCGGATTGGCCACCTTCACATCCAGCAGATTCAGCTCCGACAAATGGCGCAGACTGAGCAGATCGTGCAGCGTGATGCGACGCAGCGGATTGTGGGCGAGATCCAGAACCCTCACTGAGGGCGGCAAATGCTCTACGGCGCAGCTGGCATTCATCAGCTTGTTGTGGGAGACATTGACGTGGCGCAGGTGCCGCAGTCCGCCGAGCGGCGACAGCTCCTGCAAATAATTGCCGCTGACGTCCAGATAGGAGAGCAGCGGCAGCTTCAGCGTGGGCAGCACATAGAGGCCCATGTGATGGAGTATTAGCTTGCGGACGCGAGGCGTGTGCACGAACACCTCGCGCAAATTGGTCGTAACTAGCGGATTCTCGGAGAGATCCAGATTGGTCAGATTGTTGAGGAAGCTAAAGGTATTATCCGGCAGTATGGTTATGCGATTGCGCGCCAAACTTATGTCGTAAAGGAACTGTGAGTTGACGAACATCGAGGCGTCCAGATACTCCAAATTGTTGTGCGACATCTGAATGGAGCGCAGCGTAAAGCCGATGTCCGTGAACGCCGGCACGGGCCAGACGCTCAGCTGATTATCGGATATGTCCAGAAACTCCAGACGAGTATTCATAAAAACTTCGCGCGGCAGCGCGCGCAACCGATTCGCGCAGATGCGCAGAATTCGCAGCTTGCGCAGATTCGAGAATTGCTCCACCTGCAGCTGATCGAGCTGATTGTGACTGAGATCCAGCTCCTGCAGACTGTTCAGGCCCTGAAAGCTGCGACGGCGCAACGAGCTGAGATTGTTGTGCGACAGATTGAGTATCTCGAGGAATTCCAGGTCGCCGAACGCGTGACTCTGCAGCGCGCCCAGAGCGTTGTGGGCCAAATTGAGGAAGCGCAGCGTATTGGCCAAATTGGTAAAGCTATCCGACTTGGCCACATGATTGTGGCTGATGTCCAGCTGATATATATACATATAGCTGCTCAGCTCGTCGTCAAAGTGCGAGATGTGATTGTGACTCAAGTTGAGGCGCAGCGGAGTCGTCGCATTCGAGACATAGTGGAACGACTTCAACGATATCGAGCAGAGCTGATTGTGCATCAGATCCAATGCCGCCAGATTGGGCAGGACAGTGAAAGCGGCATGCGATATGTTGCTCAAGCGATTATAGGACAGATCTATGTAGCGCAGGAACTCCAGATTGTAGAACGCATGACGTCCAATGCTGCGCAAGCGATTCGATTGCAGATTCAATGTCTGCAAATCGCCCAAATTGTGAAAGGTTTGCGGTTCCAGGCGCTCCAGCGCATTGTAGGAGAGCTCAATCTCCACCAGATGACTGTGCGCATCGGGCAGGAAGAGTCCGCGTGGCAGTGCCTTCAGCTGATTGAAGCTCAGATTGATGTAGCTCAGTTCGCGCATTTGCGCAAAGGACTCATTGGAGACGCTCTTCAGATTGTTGTTGTCCAGCCCGAGCCAAATGAGCTGCGAGAGCGGCAGCAGCGCATCCAACGGATCCAGTGACTCCAAGCTCCTAGCGGGAAACACAGCGAACGAGAGCTCCAGTATTTTCAGCGTATGCGAAACATTCTCAAAGACCAACGGATGATGTATGGTAATGTCATTGAAGCTCAGACTAATCTCCTGTATTTGCTCCAGTCCCGCAAAGGAGCCCAGGTGCAGATGCGTTATCTTGTTGTTCCGCAGAAGTATCGTCTGCAAATTGGCGCCCCAGCCGTCCACGGCAAAGATGCCCTCGGGTATATCGGCTATGGAATTGTAGCCTATGTTCAAGTAGGACAATTGCGTATAGTTCTTCAGCCCGAGGACGGGTATCATCGTGAAGTTGTTGCCGCTCAGGCTCAACACCCTGAGGTTCTCGGTGAAGGCGGGCAGATTGTTGAGCTGATTGATTTGGTTGGAGGTCAGATACAAATATCTGAGGCGATGCAGCGTGGATATTGCCACAGGCACTGTGGTCAGGTGATTGCGCTCCAGGTCCAGGTATTCCAGGGTGTCCGTCAGGCCCTCAAAGGCGGCTGGATGCACGCGGCTAATGGCATTGAAGGCCAACACAAGGTGCACAATGCCCGTGGCCTTGAACACCTCCGCCGGCAGGTGAGCCACGTAGTTCTGTTCCATGTTGAGTGCCCGTATATGGACATCCGAATAGTTTTGCTGAAAGTAATCCGATTCCAGCTGCTCAATGCAATTCTGGCCCAGGTCGAGCTTCTCCAGGTGCATGCGCAGCGGCCGCAGCTGCAACTCCTTCCACTGCACGCTGCGCAGCAAATTGTCGCGCAGGCTGACGATGCGCAGCTCTGGCAGCTGCTCGAACAGCTGCTGCGGGAAGACGCTCAGCAGATTGCTCGACAGGTCCATGGTAACCAGCGAGCGTGGCAAGTAGTTGGCTGCCACGTGAGTTATACGATTATTGGACAGATCGAGCCAGAGCAGCTTCTGCAGCTGCTCAAAGGGCCGACCGCCAGCACGCTCCAACGCACCTGCACCTGCTGCATGCAACGCATTGCTGCCCTCCACGCGATTCTGCACTGCAGTCAAGCTGCTCGGCTGTGAGCTGTTATCACCGGGATTAACAGTCGCGTCTAGAGCGCCACCTGGCGACACTTCCGTTATGTCATTGCCGGATAAATGCAGCGAGCGCAACGTATCATGCAGCGCCTCCCAGTTGCCATCCAAGTTCGTTATGTGATTGCTATTGTGAATGCAAATGAAATTGTGAATTGGATTAGTTATTGAAAGGCACAGAATGGGCGCTTAAGTATCTTAAGTATCTTAAGTATCTAAGACCTTAAAAAGTATCTTTTACATTTGTATCTAAAAAACTTCTCTATATAAGAAGGCCTATCTACCTGGCTAACTGTAGACTTCTAACTATATTCGTCTCTCCACATTTTACTCTTTGTATCTTTAGGATACAAATGCATCTATCAGATATGAAGGCAACTGTGGTCTACTAAAGTATCTGTAAGCTAAGTCAGAAGTATCTCACAGATACATATGTAGCAGCTCATGTTGATAACTGAGTATTTATGAGTATTTTATTTATATTATCAAAATTATGATAATACAGTTAAGTTTCCATTAGAAAATTTCTCTCTCTCTCTGCTCTAGAATTACCTCCCTATTTGTTGCAGTGCATTAGCATTAGACATTTTGGCAAAGAGCCTTTCCACTGTCATTTGTCAACGCTGAAATTGAACTCAATCCACTTACCGTTGTGCCACGAGTCGTGTCAGCGAGTGCAGTCGCTGCAGTGCCTCCAAGGGCAGCTGCTGCATCTTGTTGCCCGAAATGTCCAGTGTCATTAAGGAGTACGTCATGGTGCTATATAGGAGAGAGATAGGCGAGCACTATGTATTACCTTATTTATATGTATTTGTGATATGTTTATAATACGAAAAGTTTCACTAAACTTCTAAAGCTAAGCCTGGTTACGCCCAAGCGTAACGCCCCTCTGGTTATTGAGGTGCCTTTTGACATAACCAGCACACAAGTCGGAAAACAAATATTTAAACTTAATTAACGCACCGCACACCCAACGACAACGAGTCGTATGACCTAACCTAACCCCACCCCTCTGGACACACTCATCGACATTTCGTTACCGCTGCACTCCATTAATAGTCACACATAAACACACACACACACACAGAATAAACAGCAAGAAGGAGACCGACAGGGGCAGAGAGGCAAAGCGTAAGAGAGTAAAAGAGCGACCTCAATTATGAAAACCACGAGGTTTTACAAACAAGCATCACGCTGCTTTGGAGCATGGACGCCGTTGTTCTTTGTTCCCTTTGTTGTTGTTATTATAACTACTACACTGTTGTTGGCTGTTGGCAGTTGGCTGTTGGCGACGAAGAATCAAACGCAAAACGCAAACCGAATTTTTGTGGCTCCTTTTACTTACTCTCTATCTCTCTCACTCGCCCTTTCTCTCTATGCTTCGCTCTTACTCTAAGCGCCTTCTCGCGGCATCAGTTGTTGACGGCGGCTGTTTTCGGTTTGCGTTTTGGTTGCCATTTCCCGTTTACCGGTTGCTTGCTGTGCGTCTTTGGTTGTTGTTCTTCTTGTTGTTGTTTTACTTGTGGTCTCACATTTAAGTTGCGTGCGTAGAAGAGTATGTGTGTGTGTGAGCGAGTGCGTTTGTCATCAAAAGACTCTATGTAAATATAGCAAATTCGCTGTGTACTCACTCAGGTATACACATATGCATATGCATAAGTCGAGGGAAGTTCAAAGAGTAACTTCAAAACTTAGTGTTAAAGCAAAGTAGCAAATCTGACTGACATTATAAATTCACTGTTTAATATCATTATATAATTTGTATACAAAATTGGTTTGTTATGAGTTTACTTTTATTTTCATGTTATATGTATATACTTTTTTGCTCTGACATGTCATTGAGTTACCCCTGTTTTAGCTTACTCTCATTTCTTACAATCATCAAAGGGCGAAATACTTCGAATACTTTGCCGTATCGAATAACAAATACGATATCCTTTCTATCTATTTATAAAGTACTGAAGACTGTGGCAGCCCCCCTATGCATGTATATGTGTACTTGTATGTACACAAAACAAAGCAATGCTCACTTTTGACGGTGCTCACGGACAACACGCAACTCAAGCAGTAAAATAACACACTCACACACACATTCATTAAGCTGCGTGTAAATTATTAATCACGCATACAATACTAAGGAAAAATGGACGTAAGCTGGCTAAAGGCTTTACGATCTAGCGATAAGAGAAGTCTACTTTCATTGGGATCATTAGCAGATGGCTAAAGAACTTGCTAGAGTTCGCGCTTAGTAATTCAAAGTATAATAAATGAAGCTAAACTGCTCAGTTGATTGCAGGAAATTTAAGTCAGACTGAGGGAAAGTCTGTGACATCTATTCAAAATGGAAGATCGTATAGTTGCAGTTTTTAAAGGATAGTTATATTTATCTATCATACCAATAGAAGGTGTAGCTGGGCTTTTGTGATAATAATAATTATCATAATAATATGTATTATATAAATTGCGAATTGTTACAATAATTTCAGATTTGAATTTGCAAAATTCCACCATATTTCAAATCAAGAATACTTTTGGAGAAGAATTGCTAGACTTCAATTTTTCAAAAATTTCGTTGCATATCCTCACGGTGCTGGTGTAGAGTATGAAGTATGGTGTATGGTGAAATGTTCACTAACAGAACACTGTAAATTAAGTCTTATATTCTATGAAATAATAATCTTATATTATGTTACTTAACATTCTTATATTTTGTTAGTTAACAGCATTTTATGAAATGAGAATAAAAACAATGATGATTAAGGTAGCTGCTCAAAAGTTCCGCTCTCTAAACTTTAAGGGTCTCATTGTTATCCGCAGACTGCAGGCGATCCACTCACTCTTACATATTATCCACATTTATTGCACACTTTTACCACAAACATAACATTTGGGGGACTGTAAACAAATCAGGTGTCCCCCACACTCATGATAGCAATGCGTATATAGGAAAATGTTTGTAGCTCGCGCTGCCTAGCAGACGACACAATCATACTTATCACACATTATTTGCACTACTCTAGTTTAAACATATGAAGTGGGATCAATAACAAGGGCGACAATGCTAGCTGCCGAAAAGTAAATGTTCTCCTGCTCTCTCAATAGCAATGGCTGCTCTGTGTATAAACCACTCTCTACTCTATAATCCATGCACTACAGCTTACCACTCTCTCTCACTATCACACATTGTTTTCTCTCCTCTGGCACAAACATATGAGACGGGATTAAATGCAGGAGTGATAATGGTGACTATATTTAAATGACTTATTTCTCACACTCTTATACCAAGTACTCTCACATATTATTCACTTTCTGTGCTCTTCTCCTTTTGCATAATGATATGAAACAGGGTCACATGCATGAGCGATAATGGCGACTGTAAATAGCTGAATACAACTCTGTAGTAAAATGATTACTGCGAGCGCTGTGAGGCATACGGCTGATCCACTCATACTTACATGCTCTATACATTCTTTGCTCTCCTCTATCACAAGCACATGAAACGGGATCAAAACAAACACTTCCGCGTAGAAAACGGGATCAGCGAAAAAACTTAGCTATCTCTTACACACTCAAGAGCAAAGTCTACTCTACGTGTCATATGATGAAGCACGCACATACACAAATTTTACAGTGGGATATATTTAAGTATTATTTATTATTTATTTTAAATGTATGTTATTTTAGTGTATTTTAATTTGATTTTGTTTAAAATATTTTTTTTCTCTTGATAATAACAAGTATTATGCCTAGAACACACAAAACACCAAGTAGACCATAGCCTGCATACGCCAGCCATTTAAGGCTGCCGGATCCATTGTCATCTTCGATGGAATAATCCCACGATATACAGTTATACGCCAATGAACTGCAAAATACTTGACAGTTGTCACCTTTCGCTATGCACTTGATCCAATCGAAGCAGGGCTTCGTATGATCATCCGCACAGAAGTTTAAGCAATTCGTTGACCTAAGTAACTCCAAGGAGGTTCCATTCCGGAGCCAGCACTGACAGCTGCGTCTACAATTATCCAAAATCTTCGGAATGTTATCAACGTCCGCGCCTCTGCACGTTATCAGCGACAGCAGCGCACAGAGCAAAATATTCCGAAACATATCAACAATTTGGACTCTTTCTTCTTTATGCTCTGGCAGTCGATGAAGTGACAGGCGACACGATCAGCACTCAACTGAACTCAGCTCAGTAACCATTCAGCGTCTTCTTGAGCCATAGCCGATAAGCGGGCGACTGAGTTACGAATATATTTTCAGTAAGCATACGGGTCAATGGATTGTTATGATATTTATTCATATATATATATGTTGATATATATATTTATATATGACTGATATTATTACGAAATTAATTGCTATATATATATAAATATATATAAAAGCATAATTTCAGTTTCTTTCATATAAATTTATAATAAAAATTCAAAAAATATTTCATAACAAATAAGAGAAAATCTGCATATTTCTCAGTTTCATCTGAGTTCTTCTGATAATTAATAGCATCGTTCTCAATAATAATTTATAATGAAAAGCGAAATGAAAATGATAAAAGCGTATTTAACGTTTGTGCGTATTTACGAGGGTTTCTATCAACTTTTAATATCAACTTTTAATAATAATGAATAATATGCAAAGGTTTCTTGAAATAATATACAAGAGCTTATTGAATCTTCTTCTTGAATGATATTTGAGGGATTCTTGCCACTTCTTCCATAATGTGAGGGTATGGAATGGCATACGAGGGTTTCTTGAAGCCTTGTAAAGGTAAAAAATTATATACGCTTATATATGCTTACTAACGGTGAAACAATGAAATCCTATATAATATTTCAGTATTTCTTGAAACCATAATGAATGATATACGAGAAACTCTTGAAACTTATTCCTTAAGCGGAAGCTTTGACTGATACCAGGGAAGAAATTACAGTTTCGTATTAGGTTAAAGGTTTCAGGATACCCTCGTAATAGAATCTATAAAGTATACTTTTCTATAAGATTAATTCCGTAGCCATAGATTTGTAGATACACGAAACAGCATTAGAAAATTGCTCTTAGTGCATAAAAAACGAACAAATAAAGAACCGTTATTATTGAAGTCTTATTATTTATGTTGCTTGAGATTCTTGCCATATGAATAATTCATTAAGCCCATTGGATTGCTTGCCAATATTTAGCGAAAACTATGGAAAATTAAAATACACCACTTGAGCTATCCGTAATATTAGCAGTTTTATGTTAATATAAATAACGTTAAGTCTATATATTTTGGATATACAGATTAACTCTATATCTCTCTCAGCTGTCTCATTCATCCACATGTGCCCATTAGGGTATTTTATATTTAAGGTTTTCCAACTGCCAAACTAACTTTTTGATTAACAAGTGACGCAAGACACAGCAAATGAGTGTGCGATAGAGAGAGAGAGAGAGAGAGAGATAGAGACAGAGAGAATGAAAGGTAGTTACAGAGAAGGTGTGGAATTGGATGCTTGACGTAATTTTAGCCACATTTTTGTCAGGTTTGTGCACATTAATTAGTTTGATTTAAGTTGAGATGTGGCCTGTTGACGAGCGAGTTGTCTGTCTATTTGCCCGACCACACCCCTTGCCACCCCCACCCGCCACTTTCGCCCCTTTTATGCACATTATCTGTTTACTTTTGTACGTTGTGGTGGAAGGAGGGGGCTAGTGGGGGTCTTAAAAACTGCGCAAACTGTTAACGTGCGTCCATTTAACTTTACCAAATGTGGAGGGGGTCGTGCAGCGGCTGGGTTGAGCGGGTTTGCTGGTTTTGCGGTGGGCGGGCGTAGAGGGGCTATGTGGAGGCTGGTTTGGTTTGAGTTCTTTGTGCTCGTTAAAAAATTTTCGCGTTTCATTTCATGCCGCCCAAAAGGAAAAACCCAACAACTGCCAAATGCGGTCGAGTGGTAAAAAGAGAAAGAGAATGCAAAACAGAGAGAGAGGGAGCGACAGAGGGGGGAGCGAGAGAGCGAGAGAGAGTTCACATACAGTCACACAGTGTTTGATGTGATGTGTTGTGTGGGACCATAAAAAAGCTGACGAAATATGTGCTTGTTGTACGCCGTCTGTACAACGCTCTCTATGCATATTTCGAGCCGTTCTCCGCTCGCCCCCCTCGTGCAGGGTATTATAGTTGGCGAACTACACATAATTGCGGCATAGCCGAACAAGCCGAATGCTTATCAGCAAAGAGATAACATATTTCTGCCCCATCTACAGGCATCTCTTTGTGGCACATCTTTTCGGCTGTTCAGTTCTTTGCTCTTCTCTCGTTTAATAAGCAGCTTCAGTATTAGTTGCTGGTGTTATGTTTATATATTTATACTTAATTTAGTGTTTCTAAATTATTATTTTTTTTATTTTCAATTTATGATAATTGTTGATCTCTTATGACATAAGATACCTACGATACCTAAGATACCTAAGATACCTGAACATTCATATATTAAATTCATGGGATTCCAAAATTTATTCTTTTCCGATGTATGTCTTCTTTCTCTCTCTCTCTCTCTCTCTCTCGTTTTTTTCTTACTATCTCTTTATTTAATTTATTTTTGCGTTTCTCTATTTCGATTTCTCTCCTTCACTCTATCTAAATATATTTCTCTTTGTTTATGTTTTCTCTCTTGACTTTCTTGATTTCTATCTTTTTATACTTTCTCTCTTCTGTCACTCCCGCCTTTATATAGCTCTCTTACGCAGCTGTCTATCTCTCGCCATTTTTTTATCATTGCATCCTTCTATCTCCCACACCACAGGTTTTCGCGTTTCGGCATTGCGGGCGGATATATTCTTTTTTTTTCTTTGTTAGCCCGGTTCTGTGTAGTTCGCAGCGGGTGCGAGAAAGAAAGAGCGCAGGGAGGACGCGAGGAAAGAGCAGCGGGCGAGCAAGGGAGGCGGGAGGGAGAGAGAGAGAGAGGAGAGAGAGGGGAGCGAGGAGGAAGGAGAGAGAACAGAGAGGCAGGAGAGAGAAGAGGACGAGAGCCGCGGGAGAAGAGGCGAGAAAGGGGAGAGAGAGGGGGAGAAGAGAGAGAGAGAGGGAGAGAGAGAGAGGAGCGGAGAGGAGAGAAGAGGCGAGAGGGAGGAGAGGGGGGAGAGAGAGAGGAGAGAGAGAGAGGAAGAGAGGAGGAGAGAGAGGAGAAGAGAGAGAGGAGGGAGGAGAGAGGAGAGAGGAGCGAAGGGAGAGGGGAGAAGCGGAGAAAGATGAGAGAGAGAGGGGCGAAAAGAGAGAGAGGAGAGAGATGGGAGGAGAGGGGAGAGGAGAGGAGAGGGGAAGAGAGGAGAGGGGAGGAAGAGAGAGGAGAGAAGCGGAGAGAGAGAGGGAGAAGAGAGAGAGAAGGGGAGCGGAGGGAGCGAGAGGATAGGAGAGCGTGGGCGGATGGTGTATCGTAGATGCGAGCATCCTCGTTGAATCTCTCTCTCTCTCAGTCTTCTCTTTCTCTCTTCTCTCTCTTCTCTTCTCTTCTCTCTCTCTTCTCTTCTTTCATCTTTCCCTTTTCTCTCTTTCTCGCCTCTGTATATTTCTCAGTCAGTCTCTCTCTGTCTGTCCTTCTTTTTCTTCCCTTTACCCGTAGTCAATCTGTAGCCTTTTCATATATTTGTTTATCTTTATCTGAGATATTCACAATTTCAATGCAATCCAAAAGTAAATGAAACTTTTCGAGTTTCCACAAGAGATATTTATAATTGTCCACTAAATGCTCATTGTTTTTTTTTTCGCTAGGGTATTAAAATGTCGTTTTGCTGCAAGTTTATTTATTTTTTTGACTCGCTTTTCCGCTGCTCCTTTCCCTATTTTTTTTTTTTGTGATTATTTACACTCAAACAAATAGCGCTTGAAAGTTTTTCTTTTGCCCAGCCGTGTGTCTGAATGTGCGTGTGTGTGTGAGTGTGTGTGTGAGTGTGTGTGTGAGTGTGTGTGTGAGTGTGTGTGTGAGTGTGTGTGTGAGTGTAGTTTACTGTATTCGCCATGTGAGTTTGCATTTCCTGCCTGCATTTTCAGCCTGAGTGCCCCATGAAACACTCCACAGCCAATGCTCTTCTGTCTCTCTCCCAGCTCCACCTCGCGCTAGTCGTTTGTTAAACTTAATTTTACGCCTTTTTTACAGCTTGCAGTTATATGTTGTAAAATATGTGTGTGTGTGTGTGCGTGTGTGTGTGCACTACAAACACATAAACACACCAAAATGCCAAAAAGAAAGAAAACCGTGAAAAACTGCCGCACAGCGGCCATATAAATAGGCCTGGAAAAACTGTCGCATCATCAGAATAAATGAAATGTGTGTGTGTGTGTGTGTGTGTGAGTACGTGTGTGTGTGTGTATTTATGAGCCAGAGTGCATCATCATGGCTCAGCACTTATGCGCCCGCCCTAATCGCAAATGCCAGCACACGTAGCCCTTACTCCATTGCAACGCACCCGTGTTGACCTTCACACTCACCTGAAACTGCGCTCGGATATGTCCTGCAGCTCGTTGTCGATTAGCTTCAGAGTCTTCAGACGCAAACCCTGAAACGTTTCATCGTCGACGCTCTGCAAATGCGTATTCGACATTTCGATATATCGCACGCTGCTGTGTATGAATTCTACAAAAGAGATAAGAGAGAACGAGTGAGAGAGACAGTAAGAGAGAGAGAGATGAGTGACATGTGTGTGTGTGTGTGGAATATATTGATGTGGCATGGACGACCAAGTCAAAGTGATGCTGCCTGCCAGCATTGGCCGCCGCCAGTTCATCATTCAAATTGATTTTAAACGGCATTTGAAACGTTTCCCATAACCCGAGGGAACAGTTGAACCACGCCCCTGCCCCTGCTGCTGCCCCGCCGCCGCCTTCGCCATGCCAATAGCCCGTAGAAGACTGAGGCTAACGATGATGGCTTTTGTTTTGGCAGTTTGATAGCAGGCGCGTTAAAGCAAATGGGTCATCAGCGAGCCATTGGCCCATACAATAGACCAAGAACAGAGCGGGCGGGCAAGAGCTAGCGGCTAGCCTGCCCAACGGGGCAGGACTTTGATTTTTATGCGCTTTTTCCTTTTACCGCTCCGCCTCGCCCCGCCCCGCCCCATCGACCACCCGCCATAATAGGACAACGACCAAAGCAATTTAAAAAGGCACTTTAGATATATTGGAAGAGTGACATCGTTGGCAAAACAAACAGCGCGCGCAGAAAACGCTTGACTTGATTGGCCAACAGCAACAACAAGACGAAGACGAAGCAGGAGATGGAGCAGCAGTTGGAGCAGGAGATGGAGCAGCAGCAGCTGCAGGCCAAGCAAAGAACTGCACAAAATTTATATAACATTAAGAGCCAAATAGCTAAGATAATTTCGACTCACAGCAAATATGTCAGGGAATATACACTGCGAAAATAATACAAAAAGAGTGCTAGAAACATAATGAAAAGGTTGTCGATATATATATATATATATATATATATATATATATATATATATATATATATATATATATATGCTTACAAACTAAATATGGCTGCAGAGCTATATTATAGAGAGAAATGCTTTAATATACCAAAATCATGTGAAAGAAGACCTAGAAGAACTCTTGTTAGGTAAGACATTGTGGAACTTTAACAAATTTTTATGTTATAGAATTGTCAAAAATATCCGTAAATATAACAGAAAACTGACTGCAGCACAAGTCTATGAATCTGTTGAGTTATGCTATATAGATAAATACTTCTATGTGCGAAAAGCGATTGAAGGATATATTTAGATTTATATATTTATTTAGAGCTCTATAAAGAAGAGATTAGTATATGAGAGAACCATATAAAATATTTTGTATATTTATATTTAGATATATATCTTATAGAGTTATACTATATAGAAAAACACTAGACATTAGAGACAGACATATAATATATATTATATATAATATAATATATATAATATATATTAAGAATACACGCATTTATCTGCCTACAAATTAAGCATGTAAGTCGGAAGTGCTCGACTAAAAGATACCCTGAAAGCTGATCAGTGCTGCCATTGTTATCAAAGCTAGAAGATCATCAGTGTGGAAACAAATAATGAATTGTGTAGAGCTGGAACCCTTTGCATCTTAGCACTTATGTGCCAAAGCTTAAAGCACTTTTCTGCAAAGAAAACATTTGGCAGTTTAGTTAAGTGTAGACTTACCAGAAAAGAAACAAACAAACAAACTGGAACAAGTATTATGAAGGCTGAATCGAACGACTATAACATACTTAATTGTCTCTGAATTGCCAAGCCCTAAGAGGCCTATATACACATACATACACATATTTGTATACATATACATAAACATATACATATACAAATACATATACATATACATATACATATACATATACATATACCTATACACATACATATACATATACATACACATACACATATACATATACATATACATATACATATACATATACATATACATATACAAAACTCTAAAGGGAAACCAATATGCTCTATATTCAGTTCGTGAACGAGTATGGAAACTGAGAAACTATCAAGGCCAGCATATTGTTAGCCACGTTAAGTAAGTAGAAAATAAATACATATCAAAAATAAGACGAGGTAATTACCTAATGAATCTGATTATAAATCCTGTCTCGTCATGTCATGTCCTATCATGTCAGAGTGCATATATATATATACAGAATATATACATACATATATATATATAAATATTTATATATATATTCTGAGTGAGTGTCTTCGCTGCTTGGCTATCATTGGCTAATTTCATTGAAATCGCATTTTAGGCCCCACTCAGAGCTGCCTAATGTTTGGCCATCTAAATTGCCATGTAATCCGCAGCTGGATAAACATGCTGCGGGTCAAAAGGCCAAGCACCTGCTGCATAGTTTTAATGGGCGCCACGCGGGGCAATGCGAGTGTCGCAATTAATTTGCGATTCGCTGAGCATGTGTTAATTAACAATAGCGACAAGGTCCTTGGAGTGCGCCTCCAGCTAAACACACGCCCCCGCCACCAGCCCCCTTGGCCCCACGCTCTTTGGGGACGCCTGGCAGGCGTCTGGTGACCATGTGTTTTTAGCCTGATTATATGAAATGCGGCTCCAAAGGGAATTTCCATGTCATGCTTGTCAGCTTAAATTATGGCCTGGCCTTAGCTCAAGTAAAGCGGCAAATGCGACGCGCCACGCCCACAACATTCAGAGCCGAAAAAAAAGATAACATTGTTGTTGCTGTTGTTGTCGTTGTTGGGCAAAGCGAGCGCAACGAGCGGTATCAACTGCAGCGGCCAGCCAACTGACGTGCAACATGAAAATGTACTTTTCGCTTTTAATTGAAAATTTTTTACGTGAATTGTCATTGCGCTGGCTCCGGCTTCGGCTCTGACTACGGCTCTGGCTACGCTTCTTCTTCTTCTGCCACTATTTGACTATTTTTTATATTTTTGTCGGTTTCATTTGGTTTTTGGTTGCGAAATTCTGCTTTTTATGCGCGTTCACATTGAGAGTGAATTGGGGGCATATTGGTTTCAGAGTGTGTCTATAATATATAAATTGTATAATATATATAATATATAATATATAATATATAATATACAATATATAATATATAATATATAATATATAATATACAATATATAATATATAATATATAATATATAATATATAATATATAATATATAATATATAATATATAATATATAATATATAATATATAATATATAATATATATAATATATAATATATATACTATTTTTCTTTTCTTAGCATAGAATATAGGCTTGAAAGAGAGGGAGCTAGAATGAAGGCGCTCCTGCAGCTAAGCCTCTAGGCTTAGAAAATTTTGAGTATTTATCGAATAGAAATTTATTTGACTTATTATTATTATTATTATTTTTAATGGCTATTTTCAGAATAGAAATACATTTTCTTACATAATAAAGCTACCATGCTCTATTGCTTTATAACAAGAGAATGGTTCCTGGGGCATTGCTGACCTACTCTAGAGATCGACCCACAAATTATGTCTGTCGAAAGTCTGGCACATCAGGAAACTGCACATAGTTTTTTTTATTTTAACTATCAACTAATTTAAATACATGCAGCATATAATATATTATATATATTAATATATTTGACAGGTTAAATCATATTGTGGCAAGTCAGACCAGCTGTATCTTCTATCATTTTGCAGCTAACTTTCTAAGCCTTTGACAACTGAATTGCTGAGTTAATCAACTCTATTGATTGACTTTAAGGTCACATGGGAAAAAACTATAGCTTACACTCTCTTGAAGTTATTCAGCTTAACAGCCAAGTTACCATAGACCAACTCTAAAGATTAGCACTCATAGATGCCTCTTAAGATTTTCCAAGCATTCTAGATTCACGCCTATTGGCACAGCAGTATAACTGATAACTGGCATAGCTTAACAGCTAAGTTAATCAATTCTTGCGCTTAGCTCAACATAAATGTGCTCTTAATATATATACAAATTGCATTGAACCCGCATTTCGGCTGAAGACCAAACTCATTGTTTCACTGCCTAGCTCAAATTATAGAAATTCGCAGGCATTAAACAGTTGGTAAAGCTCGTTCTATTATTGTTGTTGCTGTGGCTTGACTCGACTTTCGTTTTATTTTTAGTTAGCAGGCTCTGCCTGACAGCTTTCAAAATAAGAGACACAGAGAGAGACAGAGACAGAGACAGAGACAGAGAGAGCGACATGGATTGACATATACAATATGCATGTATGCATGACTGTATGTGTGTCTGTGTGTGTGTGAGCTAAAGTCAAAATGAAATGCGAATGCGAATGCGATTGCAATTGCAATTGCAGATTGTTTGGAATTGTCATTGATTTGGCCATGAACATTTCAGCAGCAATTCAACTTTACAGTTGACTGCACTTAAACAATTAATGAACAATTACGTCGAGCCACACAAATTAGTTCAGCAAAGTCTACAACTATTTTTTTTAGTGCTGTTAGCCCCAACACACACATAAACTGTAAAGGCTTTCTATTGAAATTATTAATTAAAATTGAGTTTCGAGTTAAATTCGTGTTTTTTCATAGCCAGACTACATTGAAAATGACAATGCTAAGCATTGTGGGGCAGAAGGCGTGGCAAATACAGTACATTGATTATTGATCAGCAGAAGATGCTGAGTCACAGAACCGCAGAAATTTGATAAGCCAGAGTCTTGCAATTTTAATTGTGTAAATTGTTTTATAACCAAACCCAGCAGCTTGAGCTTGTCATGTGCTCTTCGATAACTCATGCCATATGCCTAATATCGGTAAATAAAAATCGATAAAATCTGATTTTGTTTTGTAAGCGTCGCTCGACGCCACAAAAGACTTCAAATTTACCTTAGCATAAAAACAATGATTTTATATCTAACAAATTTTGGATATTTGTGCAGCTTCCATTGAGTCTTAGAGACTTGTGTGACTCTGAAATTTGAGTAAGTAAAACTAGAACCACTTGTGTGTCTGTTGACTACCCATGCATCTATAAAAGCAGCTTAGGCTGCTGGCAATAACAATTCTGCGCAGAGTTCGGGGTATATCCAAGTCGAGCACACCCCACTCGAACA